TGTTCTCTTCATATTATTAACATAATTGACTAAACTTTAGTCCCTTAATATAGTGATTTTCTCTTAATAAGCCTGAGACTGACAAGTGCCCCATCTATATATTCTCTTATTATTTCTCCTTTCCTCAAAAAAGAATCTTTGAAAGGAAACAAACTTGATTCCAAATGTTTTTCTTGTGGCGAGGGTCTATTGGATAGAGACGGATCGATGTAGTATTGAGGGTTACTGGACTTTATAAATTTTGGCAAAATTTTTGTATATGTATATGTATATATCTTGAAAATGATAATATAAATAACTTAGTATCCTTAACACTAGTAGCCTTTAGGGGGCACTAATTGAGCAAAATAGTGGTGTCCCGTCACTCGGTAAATTTTGGGTTTGCCTTTGCTATAGGAAATATTATTTTTATCTCCACAAGATAAGAATAAGGTTTATGTACACACTATATCTTCACCAGACCTCCCCGATGGAAATAGAATGGGCATGTTGTTGTTATTTGTTGTTGCTAGCTGTATATAAATTCTTCTATATTTTGTTGCTTTAGTATGTGAACCACAAAGCTCAAAAACAAAGCTATGCTAAATAAGGATATACTTCTACCCTAAAATAGGCTCATACTTAGCTTTCAGATATTCAACAAAGATTTCTCAAGTTATAATTGATATATGCACCATCTTTAACCCACACAAAGTCTCCTCAAGTTATTATCACTAATAGTTGCAATTTTCTCAATGAATTGAAGCTTTAGTTGGGACCTATCTTGTCTAGTTGTAATATGCACTAGTATTTAGTGGTTAAATGATGGAAATTTTTGATTGATTTCTTCTTGAGAGATGACTAGTGATCTGACAGAGAGAATTACTAATTGGATTCAAGACATGGAAAATCTTGAATGTGGTTTAAAGTTTGATTTTCCTTTATATGTTGGGGCCTATGTGTTTCTAATCCATTAGGAAAAGATTTAGTGGGCGTTTGGACATAAGAATGGTAAAATTTTGAAAAAGATTAAATTAAAAAAATTCAAGTGAAAATAGTATTTGAAATTAAACTGTGTTTGGACATGAATATAATTTTGGGATTTTTTTGAATTTTTGTGAGCGATCTCAAGTGAAGATTTTGAAAAATGATTTTTGAAGTTTTTCAAATTTTCGAAATTCATTTTCAAGTGAAAATTAAAAATTTCATGACCAAACACTGATTTCAAAAAATGTAAAATATGTTTTATGGCCAAACGGGCTCTTAGTATGAAATGAACTTGATTAGTTCATTAATCACTATTGTCTTTTCAAGCATCATCTGAAATCTTGGACATGAGTACATAGTCAAGTGTTGCAAATCTATATTGAGATTAGTAATTAATTAAACGAGTTTAAGAAAAAGAAAGTTAACACTTTATAGTGGGACTCAGCTACCTAGCACCAAAAGTGAAATTACCAATGGTTTTCTAGTCTCTTCTATCGCATTATTAATTATATATAGTAAACTTTTGGAGTTCTATGTTGAATTCATAATGGAACTTTTGTTCCACCGTTATTGTATAACTACCAATTAATTTTTCTAAGTTTGATTCAACATTTAAATGTCCTTTTCAAGGTAAGATAGTCTCTAGATTTGTCTTGAAGAAAGTTAAAATTTCATATTTAGTCAACTCCACTAATTAAGATTTCATAATCTTTGTCCAACTAAAGCAAGCATAATAGCGCAATAAATTACTACATTTCGCAAGCAAAAACAATGACATTATGTTAAAACTAAGGAAATGTATATAATCATATAATATTCATATACCATGTTGACTACAATTTGCATTAAACTTTATTTAATATTGTTAAATCATCTGCCAATGGAGATGCATTTTACTAATACTCATTTGTAAATAGATATCTTTGTTATGATAAATATCACATTATAGTGGATGTCTACTCTTCTTCCATGATTTTCATCTCAAATGCTTAATGACATATTCAATGACATATTTGTATGTTCAATGACACATTCCATGACATATTTTCTTCACTTTTTATGCCTATATAAAGGCCTTGTAATAGATAGGAAAATACACACAATTCAAGAAGAAAATCTCTTCTTTTTCTCTATCTTTATTTTTGTTCATGTTTTTCTAAATTGCTTTTATTTCTTGCTCATGTTGTATTAAATTGTTTTTATTTTATAACACGTTATCAGCACGAAGTCTCTAACCTCAAGGTTGAACTCCTCTTCTTACGAGGTATATCTCTATGATTTACTGTCAAAATTATCAAGGCTAATAATTCTTTAGTTTTTTTTTTTCCAGATATACATATGAGTATATTCCGCCAAATGAATACTGGTTCATTTATTTATTTATTTATTCTTGTGATGTTTCATCATAATATACACTTGAACATCATTTTTTTTTTATTCATGAATATAGTACTAACAAAGATCGATGAACAAAAGTGTAAATCTTTTGGAAAATAGAAATAATCCTTCTAACACAATGGAAAACAGAAATAATCATGAATCTCATGACGTTATAGTAAATATTCCTAGTAATAATCTCATAGCTAAGAGGAGCTAATAAAATTTTATTATCCAGTACATTGGGAACAACAGACGTATAGACGAATATACCATTATCATTCATTTTGGATTGGTATTTTTCACCTAAATATCATACAAAATCAGAAGAGTTTAGTGTAATCATTTCTTTACGCTATTATCCTAATAATTTTTAATTATTTATCTTCCTTGATAGTCTTCACTATGTCGAACTTGTCAAAGCTTGAGTTTGTGGTACTTGATATTTCTGGAAAGAACTATCTATCATGGGTTCTCGATGCTGAGATTCACTTAGCTGCTAAAGGCCTTGGTAACACCATTACTCATGGTAATGAGGTATCAAGCCAGGACAAAGCGAAGGCCATGATTTTCCTTCGTCATCATTGGATGAAGGTTTGAAGGTTGAATATTTAACAGTGAAAGATCCACTTGAATTGTGGACTGGCCTGAAGGAAAGGTATGATCACCTTAAGGCTACGGTATTGCCAAGGACTCGATATGAGTGGATGCACTTACGGTTGCAAGATTTTAAGACCGTAAGTGAGTATAACTCTGTTGTATTTCGAATAACTTCCCAATTGAAATTATGTGGGGAAGTTATGAATGATGAGGATTTATTGGAAAAGACTCTTACGACTTTTCATGCCTCAAATATGGTATTACAGCAGCAATACCGTGACAGGGGTTTTAAAAAGTATTCTGAATTGATCTCATGCCTTCTGGTGGCTGAGCAACATAATACCCTTTTGCTGAAAAATCATGAAGTTCGTCCCACAGGGTCAGCTCCGCTTCCTAAAGCAAATATGACAGCTAGACGTGATAAGTCTGAAAAAATACAGAATAATAATCATGGTCATATGAATGTACGTGGGCATGACAATGGTAAGAGACGATATAATAGTCGTCATAGTGGTGGCCATGACAAACGAGAAAATAATATGAGTTCTCAAAACAATCCTTCACGAGGTAAAAGCGGTAACAGCCACCGCTGTGGCATGAAAGGTCATTGAAAAATTGAATGTCGTGTACTTGAGCATTTTGTCAGGCTTTATCAAAAACTCCTTTAAAAGAAAGGCAAATAATGTTGGAGCATCTTCTGTTAATGCTCCAGTGGAGTCACATTTGTCCTTTAAAAATGATTTTGAGGCAGGGCCTTCAAACAAAAATGATGACAATGCCGAGGCAAATCTTGTATTGAATGATGATGATTTTCAAGGCCTCGATGATATTACTCATTTGGAAGTTGACTTCTTTGGAGATCAAAACTAATGTTTGATCATTTTAATGGGGAATGCAATTATGTTGTTATTTTTATTTTCGGTGTTTTTGTCTCGTCTAAAGTTATTTTTATTTTCAAGTAGTACTTAAGTTGTCTTATGTTGTCGTTGGTGATGTTAGTTGTTTTCGTATTTCTCATGATGTATTTTTTTTATGAAGAAATTAAAATTCCCCAGTCTTCAATTGGATCCAAAATGAGCAATGAAGATTTATGTCTTTTGGATAGTGCTACAACTCACACAATATTAAGAGATTTTTTTTTCTTTTTTGGTTATGAAAAGGCCTATGTTAATACAATATCCGGTAGTGCAAAGTTGATTGAGGGCTCTGGAAGAGCGGCCTTATTATTACCCGGAGGAACGATATTAACTATTGATAATGCATTGTATTGTAGTAAGTCTCAAAGAAACTTGTTGAGTTTCAAAACTATTCGCCAAAATGGCTACCATGTTGAGACATCAAATGAAGGAAAGGTTGAATACCTTTATGTTACTACAATAAAAACGGGTAAAAGATATTTGCACAAAAAATTGCCCGCATTTTCTTCTGGATTGTACCACACAAACATTGGTGTGGTTGAATCACATGCCATAGTAAACAAAAGGTTTACTACTTCTAATGATTTTATCATTTGGCATGATCGGTTGGGCCATCCCGGTTCTAACATGATGCGCAGAATAATAGAGAATTCAAATGGGCACACATTCAAGAACAAGAAGATTCTTCAATTTAAGGAATTCTCATGTGCTGCTTGTTCTCAAGGAAATTTGGTTATTAAACCAACATCAGCTAAAGTTGGGATTGAATCCCCTGCATTTCTGGAACGTATACAAGGTGATATATGTGGGCCTATACACCCTCCATGTGGACCATTCAAGTATTTTATGGTCTTGATAGACGCATCTACAAGATGGTCACATGTGTGCTTATTGTCAACTCGTAATATGGCATTTGCGAGATTGTTGGCCCAATTAATAAGGTTAAGAGCACAATTTCCAGATTATGCAATTAAGACAATTCGTCTTGATAATGCTGGTGAATTTACATCTCAGGCCTTTAATGACTATTGTATGGCCACTAGAATAAAAGTTGAGCATCCGGTTGCTCATGTTCATACTCAAAATGGTCCAGCAGAATCATTGATTAAGCGCCTCCAACTAATAGCTAGACCATTGTTAATGAGGGCAAAACTTCCCCTTTCAGTGTGGGGACATGCTGTTTTGCATGCAGCAACACTTGTGCGCATAAGGCCAACCAATTATCATAACGTCTTCCCATTACAATTGGCTTTTGGTCAGGAGCCAAATATTTTCCATCTAAAATTTTTTGGATGTGCAGTATATGTTCCAATTGCTCCACCAAAACGCACAAAGATGAGTCCCCAAAGAAGGTTGGGAGTATATGTTGGTTATGAATCTCTTTTTATTATTAAATATTTGGAGCCTATGACAGGAGATTTATTTACAGCCTGATTTGTTTTGTCATTTTGATGAATCAGTTTTTCCAACATTAGGGGGAGAAAATAAACAACTAGAAAAAGAGATAGATTGGAACGTATTATCTCTATCTCATTTAGATCCTCGCACAAATCAATGTGAATAAGAAGTTCAAAAGATCATTTATATACAAAACGTTGCAAATCAATTGCCAGATGCATTTACTAACCTTCCACGGGTTACTAAATCGCATATTCCAGTTGTAAATGCTCCAATTCGAGTTGATGTCCCAACTGGACAGTATGATAATGCAAATGAGTCTAGGCCACGCCTTAAACGTGGTAGACCAATTGGTTCCAAGGATAAGAATCCCCAAAAAAGGAAAGGAGCAAATGATCAAGTTGATCATAACATAGCAATTGATAAGACCTCATAGGAGGTTCTAGTACCTGGAAATGATGAAAATGAAGAGATATTAACAAGTTATGTCTCTACGGGAAAAAGGTTGAACCAAAATAATGTTGTTGTTAACAACAATTTTGCATATAATGTTGCAGTTGAAATAATGCAACAAGATGTGGATCTTGAGCCAAAATCTATCGATGAATGTAGACAGAGAAATGATTGGCCAAAATGGAAAAACGCAATTCAAACGGAATTGGCTTCACTCGAAAAACATGAAGTTTTCGGACCAATAGTCCGAACGCCTGAAGGTGTCAAGCCAGTGGGTTACAAATGGGTTTTTGTGCGAAAACAAAATGAGAAAGGTGAAGTCGTAAGATATAAAGCACGACTTGTGGCACAAGGATTTTCGCAAAGGCCTGACATTGATTATATGGATACATATTCTCCTGTGGTAGATGCAATTACCTTCAGGTATCTAATAAATCTGGCAGTCCATGAAAAACTTGATATGCAGTTGATGGATGTTGTCACAGCCTACTTATATGACTCACTGGACAATGAAATTTTTATGAAAATCCCTGAAAGATTTAAAGTTCCTGAAGCACATAAAAGTTCAAGAGAAACTTGTTCAATAAAGATTTAGAAATCCTTATACGGATCGAAGCAATCACAGAGGATGTGGTACAATCGCCTTAGCGATTATTTGCTAAATGAAGGGTACAAAAATGACCCAATTTGCCCTTGTGTCTTTATTAAGAGGTCTGGATCTGAATTTGTCATCATAGTTGTGTATGTTGATGACTTGAATATCATTGGCACTTCGAAAGAACTTCCAAAGGTTGTAGAGTGTTTGAAGAAAGAATTTGAAATGAAAGATCTTGGTAAGACAAAACTTTGTCTTGGCCTCCAAATTGAGCATGTACCAAATGAAATTTTTATCCATCAATCAACATATACTGAAAAGGTTTTAAAGTAATTTTACATGGATAATGCACATCCATTGAGTACCACAATGGTTGTGAGATCGCTTGACATAAATAAAGATTCATTTCGGCCTCAAGAAAATGATGAAGAGCTCGTTGGTGACGAAACTCCATATCTTAGTGCAATTGGGGCATTGATGTATCTTGCCAACAATACTCGACCAGATATTGCTTTTGCAGTGAGCTTATTAGCAAGATTCAGCTCCTCTCCAACAAGAAGACATTGGAATGGTGTTAAGCATATATTTAGATATCTTCGGGGAACCACAGATATGTGATTATTTTATTCTAATGAATTCAAGTCATAAATTATTGGCTATGCCGATGCAGGTTATTTTTCTGATCCACATATAGCCCGATCTCAAACAGGCTATTTGTTTACATATGGAGGTACTGCTATATCATGGCGTTCAATGAAACAAACAATAGTTGCCACATCTTCAAATCATGCTGAGATAATAGTCATTCATGAAGCTAGTCGAGAATGTGTTTGGTTGAGATCAATGACTCAGCATATTCAGAAAATGTGTGGTTTTCTTATGAAAACAGATAATCCAACTACACTATATGAAGACAATGCTGCATGCATTACTCAATTGAAAGGAGGATACATCAAAGGAGACAGAACAAAACACATTTCACCAAAGTTCTTTTTTACGCATGATCTTCAACAAAATGGTGAAATTAATGTTCAACAGATTCGCTCATGTGAAAATTTGGCTGATCTGTTCACTAATGCATTACCAACCTCAACATTTGAGAAGTTGAGATAGAAGATTGGAATGTGCCGCCTTCTGGAAATAAAGTGATGTTTTCATGAGTGGGAGTAAGATACGCGTTGTACTCTTTTTTCCTTAGCCTAAATTTTGTCCCACTGGGTTTTACTGGTAAGGTTTTTAACGAGGTAGCAAATAAAGCGTATTACAGATATGTGTTCTCTTTTTCCTTCACTAAAATTTTTTCCTTACATGGTTTTTTCTTAGTAAGGTTTTAACGAGACACATTATCTATGGACATCTAAGGGGGAGTGTTATGATAAATATCACATTATGGTGGATGTCTACTCTTCTTCCATGATTTTCATCGCAAATGCTTAATGACATATTTAACGACATATTTTGTATGTTCAATGACATATTCCATGACATATTTTCTTCACTTTTTATGCTTATATAAAGGCCTTGTAATCGATAGGAAAATACATACAATTCAAGAAGAAAATCTCTTCCTTTTCTCTATCTTTATTTTTGTTCATGTTTTACTAAATTGCTTTTATTTCTTGCTCATGTTTTACTAAATTGCTTTTATTTTATAACAATCTTATACTAATGGTCGTCTTTTTATTTTCTAGATTGTAAGAGAGGATTTGAAACAAATTAAAGAGCACGATGATATTCAATTAAGTGATTATAAGTTTTATTCTTATATTTTACCAATTTGTTGTGCTAAGAAAGAATTTTTTTGGATAGCATGGGGTAGATGAGTGATTTTTCAACTCAGAAGGAAATCTATTCTAATTATAAAGAATTCACTATTAGGTTAATTAATAACCAATACGTCTTTCTTGCAATGTGACTTGCTTTTGGGCTCATGAGGTCATTTTGGTCCATCGACACATGACTAAGCACTTTTAGGCAGAGTTTTCTTAATTCAAAAGTGTAACTAACTGTGTCACGGTCCAAGTTCATGTCACGTATTTTTTGCTTTGGCCTAACAAACCTTATGAGTTTGTCCCTTGGGCTACGTCATCATCGAGCCCAAAAGCGCACGTATCAAGTGAACTTGTGTCATGCCTCACTTTCCTCTCCCATTCTGATTGGGATTCGTGACATGTGCCCCCTTCCTTAGAATCTTGTCATCCATCTTAAAAGCATGTCAGTCCTCCTTGACCTATCCTCGCCAGACCGCCCTCCACCATGTGCATTATACACTTGCACAAGAAAAGAAGAAAGGAAGATCTTGTAAGAGACTCCACTCCCTCTTTATAAAAGCAATTTCTTGACCAAGGTTATTGGACAGCTCTCTCAATCCAAGCTAAAAAAAGGGCAGCTCCGTACACTAAGCTGCCGTTATGCGCGAGGTCCGAGGAAGGGTTGGACCACAAGGATATATTATACGCAATCTTATCCTGCATTTCGAGCTAACTAATAGAAAATTTTGGTATATGGCTTGTTACAAACGATTAACCTATAGTAAGTGTAAAAACTGTCAATACATATGAACTAAAATACTAAATATAATCCGGTTTAAAAAGCACACGCAACGAAATCATACGATTGTTCCATGTTTTTTGAGTAAGGCCCAAATATATATTAACAGAGACTAGCAACGCAATTAAGGGTGAAAATAACAAGGGCAAGCCAGTTTTCGGACTAGTAATTGAAAAATAGGCAATATTTGTAATGTCATTGAAAAATAGCCACTATTTTGTTGAACGCGAAAAGTTCCAGTATATATGTTGGATTATAGAGCTCTCACATATAAACTTCCAGCATATCATATTGGAACTACAACATATTATGAAATTCCATCACATTATGTTGGAAGCTCATACGTAAAAAAATTTGAACTCCAGCATATTATGCGAGAATATTTTCAGATTTTTAAGGGAATTTTTACACAAATAGTCCACCATATTTGTTGTTTATTTTTTAAAGTCATATACATAGATTATGCATTGATTATACACAACTATACACATATAATATATAAACTATACATGTATTATACCTCCGCCGGCTATTTTTAGTTTAAGCAGTTGGATAGTCGGCTATTTGGGTCAATTCTACTATAACGGTGTCACGACCCAAAACCCGACCTATCGTGATGGCACCTATTGTGGAACTAGGCCAGCCTCAACTCAATAATCCAACACCGCAAAAGTATTTTTAAACAATAAACATGGAAGCGACAATTCATTAAGGAACATTTCTGAAAACAACATAAAATCCAAATTACGATACAACTGTCCAAAATCGGGGTGTCACTGAGTTCATGAGTATCTAGAGGAGAACATAGTCTATTACAATGTTTAAAGAAACAAACTGAAATACATCTGGAGATAAAGAAGGAGAGTCAAGGCCTGCAAACCCCGTGCAGATACCTCGATAGTCTCCTAAAACCTGAAGCCTCGATCAGCAACTGCCACTGGGACCAAAAGTGCATGAATCTGCACACAAGGTGCAGGGGGTAACGTGAGTATACCAATTCAGTAAGTAACGAGTCTAAACTATGGACTAAAAGGTAGTGACAAACTCAACCTCAACAGAAATAATAGAAATATAAGTGTAGAAACGTAGGCATGCTTTCAATTTAATAGACAGCTGGAACAGTAAGATAGAGCAGATATGAAAAGGTGAAGAATAAAACTCTATTACATCTACATGCCAATGCACATGTTGTATGCGATGCACCATGCTGAATATCTCGAGTGCTCACACTCTCAAATACTCGTCCACTCACTACTGTATATGGCTTATATGGCTCAGGGAAGATCCATCCCGGATTATATACTTCTCTGAGAGCAGTCAATCAGTACTGAGGAAGGCCAATCCAGACCTATGGAGAAGATCCATCTCCTGGTAATAATATTATCCTCACAACCACTTGGTACTGTATATGGCTTACACGGCCCAGGGAAGATCCATTTCGGAATATATATATCACTGACCATCAGTCTCCAGTACCGAGGACGTAGGACAATCCAGCCTCATGGAGAAGATCCATCTCCAATAATAATATCAATTGCGCTTACTGGGGGTGTGTACAGACTCCATAAGGCTACTTCAGCCCAAACGCTATCACAAATCAATATAATCGTTGCAGCGTGCAGCCCTATCCCATAACTGTCACTCATAATCAGGCTCTCAGCCTCACTCAGTCATCACTCTCTAATCTCACCCACGGGCTCACAATACCATGAAAACTAGCCCGGAATAATGATATGATGTACCAATAAATAATACTCCCTCCGTTTTATATTATATGAGGTAGTTTGACTCGGTACAGAGTTTAAGAAAAAAGAAGAAGACTTTTGAAACTTGTGGTCTTAAAAGCTTAAGGGGTAAAAAGTTTGTGGGTCCATGACATTTGTGTGGCTATAAAAGCTTCTCATTAAGGGTAAATGGATAGAATGAAAGAGTTTAAAGTTGAATTATTTCCAAATTTAGAAATGTGTCATTTGTTTTGGAACGGACTAAAAAGGAAAGTACCTCATTTAATATGAAACGGAGGGAGTAACTGAGATTGAGATATGATATGAAATGCATGAATATGACCGAGTACAGAATATCAATGAATCAATGACAGCAAGAAACGACCACTAGGGGTCCCAACAGTATCGACGTAAAGCCCTAACATGATATCAAGCATGATTTATAGCTCATTTACTTTATCACATAATGGAAACACGAATATCAACAAGAAAGAGTCATTAAACAGTGTCATGGAATGAACCAGGTCACGATTCTCATGGTGCACGCTCGCACGCCCGTCACGTGGCATGCATGTCACCTCAATACTAACCACATAACAGA